GGAACACAAGAGGAACAAAACAGTCAGCGAATGCACGTGCATGTCATGGCACTCCGTGCAGGGCCATCGCACACGGGTTCAAGCTCGTGCACATGTCAGGAAAGCGTACAGATCATGTGGTTGGCAACCACGAATTCGCCGGCGCTTGTCGCAGCGAGAAAGCACACCAGTGTGCCATAAACTGCAAACACCACAGGCGGTGCCTGGCAACCGGTCGTGTGGGTGTCAGTGTCAGTGTGTATGTCAGCGAGGAGGGACAAGACTAAAACACAGGCAAAGTACAAGTACGAAGCAAGTCACCCTGGGGCCACACGGTATGCACAAGGACACGCACAAGAGAACAACAACAACACGCAGCATGCAAGACACACAAACACAAACACACACACATACACACACACACCTGCAGGTTGATGATCGGTCTCAACACGCTGTCAGCATCACATATTCTCGTCTTGCCTGGTTTCTGTTTGTTTGTGTCAGACATGTGGGCAACCAACAGGTGACGCATGAAAATACAAGCACACACACACGCGCGCGCACTCACAATCCATGCACACACAATCCACACACACACACACACACACACGCACACAATCCACACACACACACGCACACACACACACACACACACACACACACACACACACACACACACACACACACACACACACACACACACACACACACACACACGCACACGCACACACAATCCACACACTTCCGCGGCTGTTTGCACGCTTGCGTGAACCAACGCCAGTACACCGATGATCATGGCTTACCCAGCAGTACTTGAACCACATGGAATGCAAAATGTCCCTGTTCTCGCCCAGTGCTATCCGACTCTTCAGCACAGAGATGTGGGCTTCCGCGGCCTTGCTTGGGCAAGCATCCACATGCACAATATGAGTGTGGCAGTGAGATGGCAGCAACCAAACAGCTACAGTGTGAACAGGTGCCGCGAGTTCACAAAGATACACGCAAACGCATGAACATGCACAAAGTAACGAGCTGCTCAATATGCACTTACCAAGAGGTCTGCTTGAAGCTGCAGAGATGTCGTTGCCAGCGCCTTGCCATGCCTTTCCAGCTGCTGCAAATCTCGAATCGTCTGCTCGATCGGCCTCCCTGCAGCTCTGTTGGTCGGTTCAGCATCAAAGATACACAAAACCGCACGCTGTAAGACCCCACAGCAGACTCGCCGGCACACATATTCACACACACACACACACACACACACACACACACACACACACACACACACACACACACGCACATATACTCATGTACGCACGTGCACACACTCTCACACACATTCACTTCGGCTGTCATTGTGCAGCAGTCACTCACCTTGCTCGTGCGCCTGGAAGTGGAACGCTTAGGTTCCGCGTGAGCTCGAAGAACCGCTTGCTCTGCACACAGTAACCGGAGTTGTTGGTGCAAGTACGACATGTGTATGGACGTGTGAGGTCGAGGGGCGTGCACAAGCTATCAACGTAATGCAACCGAGTCTCAAACATGCAATCAGAAATACAAACACACGCACACACACACACACGCACACACACACACACGCGCGCACACACACGTGCACACACACCGCGCACACGGCTACATGCACGCACACACTACACACGCATGCACACGATACACGCATACAACTACCCGTACGCACACAAAACACTGACCCGCCATGTGAGGTCGCTGTTGAAGTAATCACGGGCGTGAAACGTATCCACATCTGTTGGCCTGGACACATGGTTCACTGCTGCCTTCTCCAACAACACCCACACCAGCGCTAATAACAAGCACGCTGCAAGCCCCTTGCCACTGTTCAAGAAGCGATGCTGCCACCGCTCCGCCACCGTCGTCATCGTCACCAACAACACCAACACACCCACAACAAACAGACGAAGCACTGTCTGTTGTCCTCCCACGACAACAGCAGCCAACAAGTTTGGGCGATTAGTGCATATCTTTGGGAAACTTTCGTGCCTGCAACCAACGATGATGACATCCTTCTCCAACTGCACCTTCTTGTTGTTCGCTGTTGTTGTGGTTGCGGTAGCTGCGTGTGTCAGCACTTGTGCAGCTGCCACCACTGCCACGGCAGGCACAGCTGTGAGCCACCACTGGGTGTTCCAGACCAACGCCTCCATTGTTTGTACGTGTCTGGTGTCGCGGTGGGAGACAGGGCTGTGATGTGCGTTGAATATTCGTCGTCTTGTGTGCATTGTCATTGCGCCTGCCTTGACCTCACTTTTTCCAACCTAACATCATTCACGATATCGCTGCAGATTCACACATGTCCATGATCGAGGCCCTGCCAGACGGAACGCTGGTGGCTGCGTTTCAGGGCTCCTCGCTCTCGGAAGGCTGCAATGACCAGGCCATCTTCTTCACGGTACGAGTGGTGGTCGTGTGATGCCCGGGCCAGGGACTGCACACCACAGGTGTTATGTGAAATGCAAACACCGCACAGCGCGTGCCACGTTGGCATCCCCATGGCTTGGGTTGATCTTGAGTTTGTGCCTAATCGCGTGGCTACTGTTAGCGTGGGCATGACGTGATATTTGTTGCTTTGCTTGACTGCAGTCCTCAAAGGATGGCGGCGTGACGTGGGCACCCGCCGTGGTGGCCCAGAATGATACGCTGGCGTTGTGGGGGTACGTTCATGGACTCACGTACAAACACAAACACACGCCAAACCGGCTCCATACCACCATGCAAGCATGTCTCTGCATCTGGGTGCTCATGCGCGTCAACGGCAGTCCTCTTTCTCAGTTCTTGCATGGTTGGACATCTCACACACGCACGACACACACGCACACACGCACGACACACGCACGACACACGCGCATGACATACAAACACTCATGTTACAGCACTCACTAAATCGCTCAATCCCTCACTCTTGTTCGTGATGCACACGTCGCGGTTGTTCTTTTCGACGTAGACCCGTGTTGCGCTTTGACAAGGCAACCAACAAGCTGTGGCTGTTCTTCTCTGCATCCACCAAGTACCAGAACCGCGACAAGCCAGGCTGCGGTTCCTTCAAGCGCTCCTATCCCGGCGGAGAAGTGCGTATGTGTGTGTACGTGCGTGCATGTGCGTGTCTGTATATATGCGTGTGTGTGTCTGTACATGTGCGTGTGTATGCGTGTGCGTGTGCGTGTGCGTGTGCGTGTGTGCGTGTGCGTGTGCGTGTGTGCGTGTGAAGCATCGTGTAATTGTCCATACTAGTATCGCGTGCACGTATGCTTGACCCGCTTCCTGTCCCTCGCACGAGTGACAGGCACCAACATGCATTCATGCTGAGTGTGCACTGGCGTTCACTGCGCATACATTGGTGGTTTGCACTGCGGACAACAGGTCCGATACGTGACGTCGACCGACGGCGGCGCAACCTGGACCAACCCCGTCGTTATTCTCCCGTGAGTGTATGAGAAAATGGAGCTTGCACTGCGCCAGCTGCTGCTGCTGCTGCTGCTGCTTTGTTTCATTGTGACGCCATGCGAATGGGTGGGTATTCACTGAGTTAGAGATGCTTTGTAGTTCACATGCGTCTGTGTCTCCTTTACTATTGCAAACTTCCTTTTTGTTGTGGCGATACTCACAGGTTTGAGGCTCGCGGGCAAGTGAGCAAGGTGACCGCGAACCACATGATCATTACCGCAACTGGCCGCTGGATGCTTCCGTTTTGGCAGGTGCGAGCGTGCAGGAACAGCAGGGGACAACGATTTTGATTGCCTGCTCCCATCGATCACGCATCCTGCAAACAGCACCTGTCTGCCTACATGTGCATGAACAATGGATCATATGTGCTGTGCACGCTGCTGTGTATGCTATGTGCTGTACTGTACTGTGTGTGTGACTGTGTGTGTGACTGTGTGTGTGACTGTGTGTGTGTGACCGTGTGTGACTGTGTGTGTGACTGTGTGTGTGTGACTGTGTGTGTGTGACCGTGTGTGACTGTGTGTGTGCATGGTTTTGCATATGCACGCGAAATTGTATTCCGCAGGAGCCCCGGACTGTGTATGACAAGGGTCTGAGTGCATCAGGTGTGCTCGTTTCGGATGACAACGGCACAACATGGACCACACGCGGCAGCATTCACAACAACAGCACGTGGTGCGATACATCAGTGAATGTCAACCAGAGAGTGTGTGTTGAGGGGGGGGGGGAAGGAGGAGAGTGTACACAACAAAGAAGCGAATGTGCGTGTGTGATTGTGTGTGGTCGCGTGTGATCGCTGACAGGTTGCAATGCGCTGTGACCGTTGCAGGCTGATTGAGAACACCCTGCACCAATTTCAGGACAGCTCTTTGATCCAGGTCAGCACTGCACTGCTCTTGCGCGCGCGTGTGCGTTCGTGTGCGTGTGTGTGTGTGTGTATTCGTGTGTGTGCATGCATGTGTGTGTGTGGTGTTGGGAATAGTGCCTTCTGCTTCTGCTACCTCCGCAGCCTGTCTCAGCCATATGGCATCACCTGCCCTGACCATCACGTACATCAGCTGTTCCGAACACAAGCCGGGTATATCTATGAGAGCTGGAGCACCGATAATGGCAACACGTGGACCACCGCTATGCCCTCGTCGCTGCTCAACCCAAACTCAAAGGTGTACGACAGCATCTTGCACTGTGATGTTTTGTGGTGTGTATGAATGAGTGTGTGTGTGTGTGAGTGTGAGTGAGGGAGTGAGTGAGTGAGTGTGCGCTCTGTGAGCGTGTGTGTGATGTGTGGTCATGGACATCTGTCGTTTTGTGGGGATAGCTACACGAAGGCACGAGTGGGTGTGTGAATTCATGTGAAACATTGTCTGTGAAGGACAGCCGCTTGATTCATTCGACCGTGCACGCCCCACCCCACCCCTCCTTTCCCTCACCGTGACCACCACCCTCACTATCAACGATCCGATTCGCCCATACGTGCAGGTGTGCTTAACGCGTGGCTCTGTCAACGGCAGCGCCATCCTCGCTTACAACCCGTCCAAGACGGCGCGCACACCGCTCGTCCTTGCTCAGTCCTCGCTCACGGGCCACACGTGGACCACCACCGCCAGCCTCGACAACGATCCAAACATGTCCTTCGAATGTGCGTGCGTGAACGTGCGAATGTGTGTGAATGTGTGTGAATGTGTGTGAATGTGTGTGCATGTGTGTGAATGTGTGTGCGTGCGTGATCGTGGTGGGCTACCTCATTCGGTTTCTTCTGTCCGCTGCACCTTTCGAACCTATCCCCCACCATCACCACTATGTGTGCATCGTGTTTTAACACCTGCAACCGTCTTGCTAGATCCGACACCGCTGCTGCACGCTGGGCGCGTCTTCACCACGTACTCCGCCAACTCGTCAAAGGGCATCAAGCTCGCCATCTCTCCAATCTCCTCTTAGAGACGCAAACCACAACAACAACACTGCCACTGTCACCAAAAGAAGAAGAAGAAGAAGAAGAAGAAGAAGAAGAAGAAGAAGAAGAAGAAGAAGAAGAAGAAGAACAACAACAACAACAACAACAACAACAACAACAACAACAACAACAACAACAACACCAACAACAACAACAACAACAACAACAACAACAACAACAACAACAACAACAACAACACCAACAACAACAACAACAACAACAACAACACCAACAACTTGGCTGAAATGATTAAACTGTGCAATTATTTCATTCTGCCCACGTGCACTTTATCGTCCTCCCAAACAGCGATCGCACACACACACACACACACACACACACACACACACACACACACACACACACACACACACACACACACACACACACACACACACACACACCACACACACACACACACCACACGAACCCATCGCCATGGGGAAGCGAAGCAAGGAAGAGGCTGACGCTGTTGCGCCTGCTGAGGATGGCAAGAAGAGCGTGAGCGGTGAAGGTACAAGCAGCAAGAAGGAAAAGAAGAGCAAGAAGAAGAAGGAGAAGAAGGAGAAGAAGGAGAAGAAGGCTGCCGCAGTGTCGGAGAAGGAGACCCCCGGCACTCCCGCGACAACAAGCACAAAGCCCAAGAAGGACAAGAAGAACAAGAAGGATAAGAAGAAGGACAAGAAGGATAAGAAGGATAAGAAGGACAAGAAGGACAAGAAGCAGGCCGAGGTCAGCGATGGTGCAGACACAACAACAGAGAAGAAGGAGAAGAAGGAGAAGAAGAGCAAGAAGAGCAAGAAGCAGAAGAAGGGTGTGAATGAGGATGACAGTGAACAGCCGACCAAGCGGGCCAAGCCGGCATCCAGTAACGGCAGCAATAATGGCGCCGCCGCCAAGCACACGTCCAAGACCAAGTCTGGCCCGAGTAGTGGCGTGCAGTTCGACTTCTACACAGAGCACAAGGAGGTCAGCGCGTTGCCGTCTGCCCAGGTCAGCGAGGCGCGCAAGAAGGACCGCGTGGAGGTGAAGGGCTTCCACAGCGAGTCTGTGGAGGAGTTCAAGCCCATCCCCAAGTTCCACCAGAGCAGCATGCCGGACGACGTGATGAAGGTCTGCGCCACCTTTGAGAAGCCGTCGCCCATCCAGAAACACACGTGGTCCATTGTTCTTCGGGGCCGTGACGTGGTTGGCATCGCAGCCACGGGCTCCGGAAAGACACTCGCTTTTGGTCTTCCTGGTCTCGTGCACGTCGCAGCGCGCGGCACCCCTGGTCGCGGCCGCCCCTTCATGCTGGTCATCTCGCCCACGCGCGAGCTTGCCATGCAGACGGGCAAGGTGCTGAGCGACGCGGGCAAGGGCATGAACACCCCGCTCAATGTGCAGTGCATCTTTGGCGGGGCGCAGCGCCGCGAGCAAATGGATGCCATGCGCAAGCCCGTGCACGTCATCGTGGCAACACCAGGCCGCCTGCTTGACCTGTGCGAGGCCGGGTCCATCGACCTGAGCGCCGTCACCTTCAACGTCCTGGACGAGGCAGACCGCATGCTTGACATGGGGTTTGAGCGCGACATCAAGCGCATCATGGCGCAGATGCCCACGCCGCGGCAGACGGTGATGTTCTCTGCCACGTGGCCGCAGGAGGTGCGGCGCATCGCAAAGGACTACCTCAATCGCCCTGTCAAGGTACCGCACACGTGATGTGATGGAGTGGTGGGCGTGTGCGTGCATGCGGGTGCGTTGTGTGTATGTGCGCGCATGTATGTATGTGTGTTCATGTGGGTGGGGGACGGGGGGAGGGGGGTTTGAAGTCATGTGTGTGTGCGTGCATGTGTATGCGTACATGTGTGTGCGCATGTGTGTGCATGCACGTGTGTGCATGTGTAGATGGGTTGTGCTTGCGCACATACACGTACCAGAGCTCGCATGAAGTTCTTCTCGTGCATTGTCGCTCCACAAGACCTCAATGCCACCCCTTGCTTCCCGTTTTGATTGTGCTCGCAGGTAACGGTTGGGTCTGATGACCTTGCAGCCAGCAAGAACGTGACGCAGATTGTGGAGGTGATTGACCCGAAGCAGAAGAACGGCCGCCTTCTTGATCTCCTCAGGAAATACCACAAGAGCCGCAAGAACAAGGTACAAAGCGTGTGTGTGTGTGCGTGTGCGTGTGTGTGTGTGTGTGTGTGTGTGTGTGTGTGTGTGTGTGTGCGTGCGTGCGTGCGTACGTATATATGTGTACGTATGTGTGTGTGCCCGTGGTTGTCGCGTAACATCTGCAAATGTGCACCAGGTTGTGTTGTTGGTGTTGGTACAGCGCCAATCCGATTCGATCCCATTCACACGCATGCTCGCACAACAATGTGCACCCCCCTCCCTTCACTCTACGCACCAACCAGGTGCTTGTGTTTGCGCTGTACAAGAAGGAGGCGGCGCGCCTGGAGCAGTTCCTGCAGTACAAGGGATACAACACAAAGGCCATTCACGGCGACCTCTCACAGGTCAGCTAGCCCCCCCCCCTGCCCATATTCGCGTGGGCTTTTGTGTGTGTGTGTGTGTGTGTGTGTGTGTGTGTGTGTACGTTGGTTTGCGTTGACGTGTGCAGCGGCTCTTGCAACAGTGATTGGAATGCCTGCTGCAACCATTCGTCTGTCACGATCAAGTGTGTGGTGCCGCTGCTTGCACTGCCCATCAACATCTCTCCCCACTCACCACCATTTTTCTCCACTTGTCCCTCCCCACCCACCTCATACCACCACACCCCTCCCTCGGACCACCACTCATCCCACGACCGCAGGGCGACCGCAACCGCGTGCTGCAGGAGTTCAAGAGCGGCGAGGTGCCGCTGATGATTGCCACCGACGTGGCTGCGCGTGGCCTGGACGTGCCGGATGTCGAGTATGTCATCAACTACACTTTCCCGCTCACTATTGAGGAGTATGTGCACCGCATTGGACGAACCGGTCGTGCGGGCGCCAAGGGCACGGCGCACACGCTCTTCACACAGCACGACAAGCACCACGCGGGCGGGCTGGGCAACGTCCTGCGGGCTGCTGGGGTGACGGTCCCCGAGGCGCTGATGAAGTTTGGGCAGCACACGAAGCGGAAGGTACATCCAATTTACGGCGCACACTACCGCACGACAGACGATCTTGTTGATGCACAGCCAACCCGCATCACCTTTGATGATAGTGACGACGAGTAGTGCCTTGCGTGCATGTGTGTGTTTGTTGCAGCATTTATGAGAGCATGTACAGCGAGTGTATGCACGCGCGTGTATGCACGTTGTTTACGTGTGTATGTGAACGTGCGTGGTGTTTTCGCGTGCGTGCGCCCAAGTATGCATGCGTTTTATGCATCTCATGTGCATGCCGTCGCCCCAGCACGAGCTGTGGGCCGTGGTTTTGTCCTCTAATCAGCGTGTGGCGCACACACCAGTGCCGCGTGTGGCATGCGTTGTAGCCGTTGCTTCGCTCATTTGTTTCATTCAAGTCTCATATTACAAGCATGATCACACTCCATCGCACCCCAACACAAGAAACCGAGAGAGAGAGAGAGAGAAGAGGGCAAAGGCAAACTACATTTGTCACAAGGACACGAACAGTGCAAGGCGTAAAAAGAGCAGAGGCAAAGGGAGTGAAGTCACCAGCGTAACTACGTGACACTACATCACAATCACATTGGGAGAAGGCAACAAACAAGCAAGCAACATGCCCATACCACACAGACACACAGGCACACAGACACACAGACACAGACACACACGCACACGCACACACACACACGCACACAGGCACACACAGACACACACGCAGACACATCCCTAGCCCTTATCATTCAAACCAGCGGGGCACAAGTGGTGCCATTGTCTTGGAGCTGGTATCCTGGCTGGCACGTGTGACACACGTCCAACTTGCGGAGGTAGCAGCCCTTGCAGTTGGACACACGGCACTGCGCGCACGTGTGTGTGCTCGTATCCAGCGTGTAACCAGGGTTGCACCCACGGCACACGGCAGCGCCACCGAAGCACCGCCACTTACGGCACTCCGGCACAGTTGGGCGTGGATCGACGATGGTGGGGCGACGTGTTGGCGAAAACGTCGCAAAGTCGTTGTGGCGCATGGTGGCGTTGGCTGCCTCCTCAAGCAGCAGCAGCTGCGTGTACCGCTGCGCGTCGCACACGGTGTTGATGGTGTCGATGAGGTGTGGGCGGTACAGCGCGTCGACGTCATACAGTGCGCCGTCCTGGTTCAGCAGGTGCGTTCGTGTGCGCACAATGGCGTCCTTGCGGTACTGCACATACACAAACGGCTTTTCGCCCGCAAGCAGCCTGGGACTGTCCACGGCACCATCCTCGCTGCCAGGAGGGAGTGACACCAACTTCCGCCACACTGAACGGCCATCAAGCTTGCTGAAGAACGGATCACTCGACACGCTCCCCTCGTCGCCACCATCATCACCACCATCACCGTACGTGCCATCGTCGCCATCGCCCGTGTTGAAGACGATGGACGCATCGGACAGCAGGTCCTCTCTTCCCGCTGCCGCCGCCAGCGTTGTCATGATGTCCGTGAGGTCGCCAATGGCGTTGATGGTGATGCCGGGAGCAATCACAGATGGCCACTTGACAATGCACGGCACTCGCGTGCCGTTGTCAAAGACAGAAAACTTGGCGCCATCCACATGCTCGACCGTTGTCGCATCGTCATCGCCATCATCACCATCTCCAAGGTTGTTGTCCAGTGGAACGTCGACGTCTGAGCCAAAGCCGTCTGGGGTGCCGTTGTCGCCGACAAACAGCAGCAGCGTGTCGTTGCTCACACCAACGTCCTGCAAGAACGTGTCCAGTTCGCCAACAATGCGGTCCATCTCCTCCATCATCGCCGTGAAGCGGACTGCGCGTCCACCGCCGTTGCCGTCGTACTCGGGCGGCGTTCCTGTCCGGAAGGAGCCGTGCCCAAGCAGCATGGGGTAGTACAGGAAGAAGGGCGTGTCCTCCTGGACATGATGCAACACGAGATCTTTCACCATCTTCACGCCCAGGCGAGGGCCGTAGTGTGGCCCTTCTGGCTCCACGGTGGTCCATTCGTTGCGTCGCCCCGTTCCCCATGGCCACGGCTGTGATTGCGAGAGAGTGTGTGTGTTGTGTTGTGTTGTGTTGTGTTGTGTTGTGTTGTGTGTTGTGTGTTGTGTTGTATTGTGTTGTGTTGTGTGTGTGTCGCGGCAGTGGAAGTGAGGGCTGACAAGGTAACATAGATAATGGACGATGCAAAGTGGGGTGGTGTGGTGAGATGAACGACGTACACGAGGAAACCAGTCGTGTCAAATCAGTGCGTGGCGTGGCCTTCAACCAGAAGTCAAATCCCCACGTGATGGATGGGAAGTGAAAAGAATGACACAGGGTTCACCATCAATCATCACCTGGCCTGAGAACACGTCGTTGGAGGTCACATCCAGGTTGGTGTGTGCAACAAAGTCCTTGTACCTGTCGCGGTCAAGCTCACGCGCCCACACAATGTACTCGTCAATACCGCACCCGTCCGCTTGCAGCGGCAGATCACCTGGCGTGCGTGTATGTGTGTGTATGGTCATGCGTACGTGTGTGCGTGTACGTGCGTGCGTGTGAGAAAAAGATGTCAGGGGTGAGATGGAGGGCATCACAGCACAGCAATTGCAAGGAAAGCGAAAAGTAATGGGGTGATGACTTTGCACATACGGTAAACACATCCGACACACACGCACACACATCTGACACACACACACACACACACACACACACACACACACAGCTAACCGAGGTGCCATTTGAGGATCTGGGCGGTGGAGTAACCGGCAGCCTTCATGAGTCGCATGAGACTGCAGTGCTGTCGTTGAAGATCGTCGAGGGGAAGGCCACCAAGATTGGCAACGAGGCCGTGGCGCACCGGGATTCGCCCGCTCAGCAGCGTCGACCTGGCCAGCAGGTGGGATGAAACGCATGCACACACGTGTATGTGTGTGTGTGTGTGTGTGTGTGTGTGTGTGTGTGTGAAGGCGTAGGTTGAGCGACAGTGTTGTGGGGATCGTCGAAGCATAACAGTGCAGAGAGAGTGAGGAGGTACGCATGCGTGGTGTGCCAAAAAATGTGGGCGCACGTGCACAGACACCATACAAAACACAGACACGCACACACGCACACAGACACAGACAGACAGACAGACAGACAGACAGACAGACAGACAGACACACACACACACACACACACACACACACACACACACACACACACACGCACGCGAACCACTAGCTCACCTTGAAGGAACGCATGCTGGCTGGGCGTGAAAGTGTGAAAAGAGGGCGCCCTCCGACGCAAGGCGATCCACGTTTGGGGTGGAGTGGTGCGACCCATAGGCGCCAATACGCTCGGCACCCACGTCATCGGCAAACATGAGGATGATGCCACGCGGGGCAGACGATGACAGCGCAGGCGTTGATGATGACGAGGATGAAGTGGATGTTGACGATGATGTGGATGATGAGGAGGATGTTGATGATGATGACGACGTAGAGGTGGAGGAAGACGTGGAGGTGGAGGAGGATGTGGAGGTGGAAGATGAGGACGATACACTGGACTGCTCGTGGCCCAGTGACGACGAAGGTCTTGTTGTCATGGTGGTGGTGGTGGACGTCGTGGTGGATGTAGTGGTGGACGTTGTTGTTGTTGTTGTGGCTGGGGGATGCATTGTGGTTGCATCACCAGGAGGTGGCGTGGTGGTTGATGTGGTGGTTGACGTTGTGGTGGATGTAGTGGTGGATGTGGTGGTTGGCATGCTACTCGATGTCGTAGTTGATGTGGTGGTTGGCATGCTACTCGATGTCGTAGTTGATGTGGTGGTCAATGTGGTGGTTGTAGGAAGGTTGATGCGGGAGAGGGAAAAGGAGTGGAAGGTGGTTGATGTGAGCCTGTGTGGCTCTGCATCCCGAAGCAGCGAGCAGATGATGGGGATGGCATCGTCACCTGGCGTGCCAGAGTTGGCTGTGGCCTGAAACGACGGGCGCGTCTGCACAATGTGCAGGGCGTCGCATTCGGCCGTTGCCAGGCACGTGGCCATGCAGTCTGAGACACGGGAGACGAAGGAGCGGATGAGGTGGCCAATCTCCAGTCGGAAGGCATAGTCGCTCGGGGAGCCCGGCGCGAAAGGGACGGCGCCAACCGCATCAACCGCAAACCCCATGCTGGCTGCACGCGCGTGCACGTGGTCGTACGAAACCCACGCCCTCAGGGCGTCGGTGGGAAGCTGTGGTGGGAACTGGTCCTGCAGCGGCGTGCGCAGCAGCGTGAAGGACGACGTGCCTGTGGGCACGGGCTGCCCTGTTGCTGGCGCGTTTGGCAGGAGGTAGCACGCATACTCCGGGGCCACGATGAAGAACACGCCGGCGCACTCGTCAAGGGAAACGGAGGAGCACAGGTTCACGCACGACTCCAGGTCAATGCGCTTCACATTTGGAACCGAGACGCCAGAGAAGAGGACCGCAGGCCGAACCACATCCTCGGTTGCAAACCGGGTGGATGGGTAAGCACCGACGAAGCACTCGTAAAAACCGGATGGCACGACCGGGCCATGGAGCGACGGATCGCTTGTCGTTCTCGCAGCCGAGCCGGAGCTGGACGCGTGGGCCGTCTGCGTGGCCAGCGTTGCCAGCAAGGCAACGGCCAAGACACACGCCGCCGCAGTCATCGCCAACGTACGGTGAGCAGTGAGCATCGATCGATTCGATCGATTGCCAGTGGTTTGGGGTCAAGCGATGTGTGCGAGTGTGTGTGTGTGTGTGTGTGGTAGGGGGGGGGCTGCAGTTCCACACTACTCACCACCTCAATCCAAGAGGTCCTCTGCGATCTAAACTGTGCTTGCAGCACAGGTGCTGTTGGTTGGCAAAGAAGGAAGAAGAGGTAAAAGTGCTCACATCAGCCGCCTCTCACTTCGCGCAGCCACATCATGCGCTGAACGTTGTTTCGTTTTCATGTCGTGGGTGCAGAAGCAAAAACTACCGCGAGGGTCGCGTTGTGGCGGGTTGGGTTGTCCGGACAACGTGAAAAATTAAATGTGCATCGACTCATTGCTGCTTGCTTATTCTGTGCAATTTGCGCCTGGTTGGTCCTGTGTGTGCTGCAGCCGCCAACAACAACAACAACACCAGGCAAGGCAAAGAAGGCGAGGGTTCGAGGGTTCGAGGCAACAGACGGAGAGGGGGGGTGTGCCTCTTCTTCAAGTTGGTGACATCAACCTCGCTGGTGCTGCCGTCCCCCCGGCCGCAACCTGCTCGGGATCTGCCTGCAAACAACCACGGGAGCAACATACATAGTACAGCCAGCATAGATAGGAACCAAATGTACAGCGCAGCATGGACAACCTAAACGCAGAGCCATGGTTTGCGGGATCCATGCAACGCGACGAGTGTGATCAGTACATGCACCAACCACGTCAGTCATGCCCACACTCATCCAAGCTGGCCTTTCTTGTTTGCCATGTGTGCGCTTGCTATGCGTGTGCTTGTTGTGTGAGCCCTTGACGTGTGCTTGGCTGCTGGATTGATTGATTGCTGTGCTTGCTTGCTTTCGATGCGTTCTTCATGTGCCTGTGTTCTCTTTCCACTGACACACATACAGGCACGCACTGACACGCACACACACACACATACACACATACACACACACACATACACACACATACACACACGCACACACACACGTACTCGCATACGCACACGTATGCATGTTATCATGATGACACACTCGTTGATTCCTTTGCTCCCCCTCCACCGCCAATCACGCCTCATCATGCATGCTCACTGCGTGACCGCAGATGTCGAGCATGGCCACTTTCTCGTGCGGGAATCGCAATCCGCCCCAGGCGTCTACACGCTCGTGATCAAGCAAGGCCCCTTTATCAGAAACTTTCGCATCTCCGAGGTTAGTGCGGTGTTTTGGACTGGGGTGAGCGTTCCTGCTTTGGGTGTTGATGTGGATGTAAGGGTGTCTGAAGTAACAACGTAACGTCCTGTTTATCCTCCCTTTCACACACACATGCTTTCACGCACACGCATGCTTTCACGCACACACATGCTTTCACTCACACACACGCACACATACACACACGCAGGCGGGAGGGCAATACTACTTGGTGGAGGGAAACACATTCCCCACTATCGGGTTGCTGTTGCAGTCTGCCATGTCCAGCGGCATGTCTTCAGAAGGAGAGCTGATTGTCCTCAAACCCCTCCATGTCAACCCAAACGCCGCGTCTCCAGACCAGCCGTCCGCTGTGCCCATGATCCAAGACCAGGAAGTGTACGAGAGCATCGACGAGCCTCCAAGCGCACAGTCGAGCAGGCCGCCTCCCGTCCCCACATCAGCCAGGCCCGCCGCCCTCTCGCCACAACGTCCGCTGCCGCCGCCACCACCACCATCATCATCATCATCAACCACCACCAACACCACCACCCCGGTGGCACAAGCGCCCACAGAGAACTACGGAAAGGTCAACACGCTGCGGCCTGGCGCAACGCTGCTAGGTGGCAACGAGCCCACATATGGTCAGATCCCAGACAGCCCAGAGGACGATGCATCTGCGGTCGACTTTGGTGTGCCGCTCCCTGCAACATCAACACGTGCGCCACCACCTCTCCCACCAGCAAACACGCGGCCCATGCACCAGCACCAACGGCACCAACAGCACCAACAGCACCCGGGTGAACAGGATCTGTATGAAGACCTTGACACTGAGCAGCCCGACGAGGATTTGTACGAAGCAATTGACGACAAGAATCGTGGCTCCAGTCACCGCGCACCCCCGGTTTGTTGCACACGTGCGATGTTGGTTTTCGGTGGAGGCGGAGGATGGGGAGTGAAGAAAGCCGCTGAGCAGGATAGGATGCTTGCCTTTGGTTCTTTTGTGTTGATGTGGCTCTCATCGATGTTCACACACACACACACGCACGCACCCACCACACGCACCCACACACACACACGCGCACGCACACACACACACACACACACACACACACACACACACACACACACACACACACACACACACACAC